AGAGTAAGAAAAAGGAATTTCATAAACTGGGAATTGAACATCCTTTATCTTTAATAAACACAGAAAGAGTAGTTTCACACATTGCAGTAAGGCATTTTTTACTTAAAAACTTAAAATATCTGAGAGCCCATAATACTGCATTATGGTGTTTGGGAGCAGAAGTAATGTATTTCTGAAACAGCTGCAGTATTATTTCCTTCCTTCCCATTTTTGACTATTACAATGAATAGGCATGGCTGCAATTACTCAAATTTTGTGAAAATGGGTCTGTCCTGTGTTTTATTTATTTATTTATCAAATTTATATAACCCTCTATCTCCTCCCAAAGGGGATTCTGGACAGTGCACAACAATGAATAAAACACCTAATAAAACATATAAATTAACAGATTAACTGATTAACAGATTAGCAGAGTTGGAAATAATGGTGGGTTTTAGGCGGTACGCCCAGTATGGGATCAGCAGCCACCATACTAGAACAGTGCTTGGGATGGGCCACCCGCCCACCTTCGTTCCTTACCTGTATTTAAGCCAACCGGGGCATTTGGCATATGTGCGCAGCATACGGCACCTGCATGATGCTCCACTGAGCAACTGGAGAGTCACAGGGTGGTGGGTGCGCATGCGTATGCAGCTCATGTGCCTGTGGTGGATGCCCGGCCCCGTCGCAGCATATTGGTTGCAACCAGGATCCAGAACCCACCACTGATTGGAAGGAACTTTGCAGGTCATCTAATCCAACCGCCTGGCCAAGCAGGAGATCTACATCTGTCTCTATCTAGGATCGAACTCACAACCTCCTGACTGTGAGGCGAAAGCTTCACCTCATCAAAATAAACTTCCAGTTTAATTGGAGCACCAAGGCCTGGCAGCCTAGCCTTATAAAAAAAAGTCAAAAGATTGGAAAAAATCTAATTTCAAAGGGAAAGGATGTTCCAAAAGATGGAGACCACAGCAGGGAAGACACATCTCTTGGGTCCCAACAAATGTGGTTCCTTCACTGATAGTACCTGCAACATGCCTTTTCTTCAAAATCTAATAGAAAACAGGAACTGTGATGGTCAGCATGTCAAAACAGAGGAGACAACTGAACAGGGGAACTGCCAAACAATTTTAGCCTGCATCAAATGCATTGGTAATATGAAAATAATTTAAGGAGAGTCTCCCACTAGCCTTTAAGACACAGGCAGGCTGGTACTAAATATGGATATTTGCATTTGCAGGTAATGCACTTATATAATATATTTCAAATGCTTATTTTTGCATCTTGGAGCGAAGGGAGAGGACGCGACAAGAGGTGTAGCAAACCAGTGACCTCTACTCAGCTCACAGTAACTACGATTCAACGTGGCGTGGTTCGC